AGCCGGACTTGAACCGTTGACCTTAACTGTGGAGGGTATGGGAGCTTAACCGCTAAGCTATGGGACCCACACCCCATCATGTGTTATTATTAATATTATCAATAGTGAAATAAAACATTGTAATAGTGCTGCAAACTTAAGATGATTAAGGCAAATAATAGAAATATAGGAAATCAATATAAATGCAGCCAAAAGTATTAAAGATAACTTTTTGCAACTTGGAGTATGTCTTTCTTACTTTGTTTTCGATCAAAACCAACTTTATAGTAGTAGTGCAAAACAACATGTTCAATTGAAAAAGCAAAGGTTCATTTTCATTTCTGCATTTTCTGTTATAAAAAAGTATGTTTTTTTAGTCATAGCAGTAGCTGTAAAGAGCATTCATGAAAAATTAATAAAAATAATGTTCAAATATCTTGCATTGGAATTTTTAAATGCCTAGCACTTACTGTGGGACCTATTATGAATAAATCATCTTTAGGGTATCGTGCTCATTATATATGTTCACTATGTTTCCAAAAACAAGATGGGCATTTGTATGAAAGGCTACATAGAAATAATCTTATAATGTTATGTACTGAACTTGAAAGACACCAAAATGATACAAATGACACTCTGATAGATATTAGAAGGTAGATAATCTCAGTAGGAGAATCACATAACCAAAAACAAAAATAAACATTTATTATCCTTGGCACCATCTCTTTAATTATTAAATAACAATAACGAAGATAGTGAAGTATCACAAGTGCATCTTCCTAGTAGTCTTCTCATTAAAACTGCAATAAAAATGGCAAAAATTGACCCTAATAAATTAATAGAAAAATACTTAAAAATTACTTCAGAAAAAGGCAACAATTATAGGTAAAAATATGGAAAAAAAGATTTTATTTTTGCATTCAGAAATCTAACTAAAAAGAGATCAATTAGAAAATCCAGGTTCATACAATAAGTATTTCAACATATTGCCAAATATTATTCGCAACTTCTTTCAAGCTCTAATTATAGCAATACAACAAAAAAAATATCAGTTACTAACAAGTGGAGGAACCAATATGAACTTTCTCTAAAATCACTTAATATAAGTCATATAACAAAAGTCACTACCTTTTTACCTTTATGTTGTTAACAATGGCTTTTTCTGAAACAAAAATCTGGCTTACACATATTATATCATTGTTATATCAAAATCCAAAATTATTTTTAAACTTATATGAGCTTCTCTGTTCAGCAAATGTTTTATCTTACACAAAATGACATGAAAATTGGCTTAACAAAGCCCAAATATTTAATACAAATTCTCTAGAAAGGCTAATTAAAGGACCAAACATCTGGAATTTGGCAGTCATCTACAATATTGATTTTAAAGCCTCTACCTTTGCAACAGGTAATATTTTTGATATTGTATACCAAACTTCTCATGCAATACTGTGAATGATGTTTCAATTTACCCTTTCTACAGCACTTGAAAATATAACTAATAATAGAATTATTAATTATCCATTATTTGGAGAGTCTACAATTACTAGTAATCTTCTAATGTTATACAAAACTATTTTAAATACAATATTAGAGAAAAATAAGAATAAATTAGAGATAGAAAACATACATTTAGAAATTATAAAACAAATACCTTCAGTTGTTATATTCCAGTAAATGTTGTAATCTTAGAACCATCAAATTGTGATATTAATATTCATATGAAATGTACTGTAAAGATTTATCTATTGGCAATGATGACCATCTTTATATTACATGTAATCAAGCAATTTTTGAAAGATTGATTTTCTATAAGGAGAAACATTTAGAGACTCAATTTATTTTAGAATAATGGCATATATCTAAGGACATGTGTAGCATATTAATTATGATATTTTTGAAATATGGAATATTTAATCTAATAGCTACTCTTGGCATATAATATTTAGATAAATTTGAACATGTTATAGATTACTGAGCAACATGTTGAGTTCTAGAAATAATCTGGATTGCAGTTAGAATTGCTTTATATCAGTGTGTGAAAGATGTAGAGAACTCGATGTATAATATCTTAAAAAAAACCAATAATTTAATTAAAATATAGTACCTTTTTTTTTGTTGAGCTGGATATTTTATTGGACACAAAATCAGAATTAGAAAATAAAACTACCAAATACAAATAGCCAATTTAATCACCTTTGCACCTCTTTTTCTAGCAGGCAGTAAATTCAAATATGCAAGTTCAGTTGTGCATTTTTTGGTACAAGTTCATGATGATCCACAATTTCAAAAATTACTTGAAACAGTATGTTTAGTACATATTATACATAAAGAACATTATCTTGCTTTTGATGCAGTACTTAAAATATACAGTATAAAATTCATCAAGCAAAATATTTTTGGAAATCTTATAGATCAGGAAACTATAATGCAAAAAATTAAAGCAGTACAATGTGAAAGAGATTGTCTGTTAATGCTTCTTGCAGAATATACTAATGATGTAGTAGTAAAATAAAATGCATATTCAATCCAATCTCATAAAGACTCTCTTTGGTCATTAGTCACAAAATTAATATCTGAATTTAAAGTCCAAGATAAATATGAGTTATTCAAAGACATGCCAAAAATTAATAAAAAAGATTTTAAAAAAATTTTTGCTTGCTATGAGTTAGGAAAATTACATCTTGAAGCAATACTTAAGCAGGACTACATAAAACAGAGTGATATGTAGCTTTTGGATATAGTACTCAAGATATAGACTGATACATATCTGTTAAATTTGAACAAATAAGAAAACAAGCAAATAAATCCAAAAAAAAAAAAAAAATCTAAAACTATAACAATGATAAAAAAAATTTCATTATCTTTATTAACACAACAGTCTCTTGAAACTTCTTTACTTACACATATTCCAGATACAGATAATAATAAAAAGCAAAAACAATGAACAACTACAGAAAAAGAAAAAAAATATTTTCTTCACTAATTGAATACAAAAAATCATTATCACTTGCTAAAATTCTTATGACACTTGATGAACTCAGTAAGGTCTCTTTGGGTTGGACTATTGACAGGGTTAGACAATATTGGAGAAATAATAAAAAATCAATATAGCAATAGCTATAATTATAAAATAGCTATATTTTCTCACCCTTAATCATGATTTCTTCGAAAAATATTCATAACTAAAAGATATATACTAAAACTTCATAAAATAAATAGATTGTTTACTTTGATTATGATTTCTTTGAAACAATAACTATCTTTAAAAGTCATTTATACTAGGAATTATATTGTTATCTGTTATGTAAACATATAAATAATTAAATAAATAAAAATTAATAAATTAAATAATATTTTTGATTATTATATCAAGCTAATTATATACTTGCGCATACATGATAGAGTTTCAATCCTTAATCTAACTATTCGAATTGATTTCTAAATCTAAATAAATTTAGATATTCAGATCAGAGATTTTTATTCAAATTGGTCAAGAACTTAAATAATGAACCTAAGAATGTGTTACAAAGCTAGCTTGATATGTAATCTTATGCAGATTCAATTTAGATTTAATAAAATCTGGATTGCTTGTCAAAAATGAAAATAGGACCAAAACCCAAACACATGAGTTCTTCCATAACAAATTGAGACTTAAAAAGGTTTTAACTGTAATTGGGATTTTTTGAAGACTATATTTCTAAGTGCATGCTTTATCTATAACAAAAAATTTGATAAATATAAGCATATTACAATTTTATACAATTCTTTGTGCAGTTAAAAATTGAAATATGTTGATATATATAAAAGTTAATGATTAAACATTAATATTTATATATAAAAAATTCGACTCTAAACACCGATTTGTTGTGAAAGTACTCATATGAAAGATCAATTAGAAATAAGAAATACCTTTTCTATTAAATAATCAAATTATCCTTAAAGTTTCTATAAAATTCTGCAAGTTCTATGTTACCTTTTGTGTAAAGACATATTTCCTATAGTTTGTTAAGAGGTTTATTAGTAATAAAACCTTTCTTTGTTAACTAAAAAAAATTAAATTCATAATTTTAAGCATTCATCTTATTTTATATAAGGGTTGCTCTAAGTAAGCTCCAAAAAACCACAAGTAAAATGCCATTGTACCATTAAGATCATTCGAAGTGTTTCTTGTTTTACACCTTTTAAAAAATGAAAAATGGTTAAAAATAAAATATTTGAAGGAAGATCTTGAAGTTTATAATAAAATAATAATAATCTTCAAGTCTGATTTTAATTCGTATAAATTTAACCAACAAGCGAGTTTTTTATATAGAACTAAAGCATATGACTTAAAAAACATTATTTTTTTAAGGTCGAAAGATTATTTGTTAGAAGTTAATTGACATATTTCTGTTAAAAAGTCATGCCGTCATATGTTACACAAGAATTTATAACTATGAAGATCACAGGCCTACCGAAAAATTAATTAAAATTAATTTTTGTTATACGTCATACAATTAAAATCAATTAAAATTATCATGAAATTAATTGAAACCCAATTAGTGACGAAATAATTGCAATTAATTGCAATTAATTACATAGTTGCGATGAATCATTATATGTGACAAATAATGATTTACTAATTAAACGTATTAGTGAACTCTTATTCGTCACGTAAATAATTCATCACACCAAAAATTGTAATTAATTGACTCATTGTGACTGCGCCGTCAATCGATTAATTGAGTTCAAAATATTGCAATTAATTGCTCGCACAATCAATTATTCGGTAGGCCTGGAAGATCATCACGGAAGAGATGTCCCGTGCCTGTTACGGTTTGGTCCAGGTATTGTTGAATCAGATCACTATCAAGACCTGAAATTGGTTGAGCTTAAAATACCATGAACCGAACTGACCCATCGGGCAGGTTCCAGGTTGGGTTTGGGTCTTAGTTCAGGTTCACGGAACACTAAGGTTACAGATAAATTAATCTAAATTCTTGTTCTTGAATGTAATTTTTATTTTGTTATATACAATCTGTTTATTTTAACACTTTTGCACTAAGTTATATAATTAAAATTATTAACAAAGATATAAACAATGCCTCACCTTAATACTAAAAAAAAAATATTTTTTAATTGTTTTAATGCTCACAAAAATTCCCTCCTTGTGATTTTTATCCAATTAGATCGAAAGATCAGGTGTAAAATCTTTAGAATTAGAATTAAGTCACGTTATCGAGGATTGATTTTTTGAGAGATCTACAGAAGAAGCCGTCGATGTTACACGACTGATCCTTCACCTGGTAACATATAAAAAAATTATTTTACAATACCACTAGTACATAATTCAACAACATTTATATTATAATAACGATAAAATGGTGTAGAATTATAATCATAACATGTACTAGCTAAATAATCTGGTATTGTAAAATAATTTTTTTATATGTTGCGTTCAACTTTTTGCTATCGATTAAAGTTTTTCAAAAATCGTCAGTAATTTTATTTATGAAACCACTTTACGTGTCTTAATAAAAAAAATTTCTTGCAAATTTTTAAAAGTATCTATATTTTATTTGCCTTTAATACCACAACTAACAATATATTTAATGTTTTTTTACCGTATTTTTGTGATATCAGATCAGAATTTGTAATCAATTTCGTCCAATCAAGAACAGTATTTCCAAGCGGTCAATAGGAACCATAGGGGGAATTATTTTTTAAAAACATCAGATTTTCGTGTGATAAGCGATCATCCGATAATCAGTAATTTGATTTTTTGTCATTTAAAATTTGGTTCTGAACCAACTATGTTTAACTTAGGTTTGGAACCTATTATATAAAAACCCGGTTTTTAGGCTTTTACGTAATTTGGACTACGTAAAGATTTTAGAACCTAAGCTAACTCTACCATCTCTATTATGTCTTTTTAAAATTATAAATCAGTAAACAATAAACAACCAATAAATATCTAATAAACATTTGAAGTACACTTGATAGTACTTACTTTCTTGCGAGTTTTCACATGTCAGATTTTTATTAAACGCCTTCACCCTTAGGAGCAATTTCCTTTTTAATTTGTCATGATATTTGCTTTTAAGCTTCTATTATATTAAGCTTGGAAAGAAGAAGAATAAGTATCCACACAATAAGTAAAAAAAAATTTTGCCCTTTTAAATTCTATGATCACCTTTTTTTTATTGTTATCGTTATCGCTATCTTTAATAATCAGCGTGAGAATTTCATGTGTGATATCACGTGTTAAAACAAGATCTGATCAGGGACCAATCATAAGGCCCGATTTGTTGTAACACGATATAACGTGATCAGTAATGTAACTTTCCACAGGCAAATTTGTGTTGTCCGGCCCAAATTATAAACTTAATTTTGCTCGAAGTGGTATTGTTACACCGCATTAAAAATCGATCGATATTCAGGTTTGTCAAACCATTAGCAGCATAAAATGTCTTCCTATATAAAATGCAGATTTCACTTAATTCTGCAACTTGTAATTCCGCGTTTTTCTACACAACTTTAGTATTTTAATATTTATTAACTTTGATTTATTAAACATGACAAATCTATTAAATATACAATTAGCACCATTAAATGTGCCATTTATAAGAAGACGTCAGACAACAGCCGTTCTTCTGTGGTTTATCTCTTTGCCAGTAACTTTGTGTGTTTTTTTTATATTGTGTACTACAATTTTCTTTTGGCCCTGGATCATTGCATATTCGTTATTTGCATTATTTGATATCGCACCAGAAAACGGAGGTCGAAGATTTTCATTTGCTAGAAAGGCAGCTTTTTGGAAATGGTATGCTTCATATTTTCCAATAACACTAATTAAGGTAATGATTTTATTTTTCTTCGAATTTGTACGCCCAAGAATTTTTTCAGACTTTTCTTTTATCGAATTATAGGAAGCAGATCTAGATGCATCGAAAAATTATATATTTGGTAAATGAATCAATACAATAAATAATTCTAAAATTATATAAAACATAAAATTTTCATTTAATATTTTCCTTTATAATTAGGCTATCATCCTCATGGTGTAATATCTGTTGGTGCTTGGACAAATTTTGGCACTGAAGCCAATGATTTTTCAAAAAAATTTCCGGGAATTACATGTCGTTTATTAACACTCGCGTCAAATTTTAACCTTCCATTTTATCGAGAATATTTAATGGCCCAAGGTTTGGCGTCTGTATCACGTCAATCTTGTGAAAATATTTTACGAAAAGGACCAGGCCATTCGATTATAATCGTAGTTGGTGGTGCGGGTGAAAGTTTAAACGCGCGTCCTGGAGTTTATGATTTAGTTTTGAAAAGAAGATTGGGATTTATCAAATTAGCTATTCGTAATGGGTAAGAAATATGAAAATTTTTGCTTAATTATTAATTATTTTATTAATTAATTTGTTGTCAAAAATAGTGCATGTTTATGCCCTGTATTTTCATTTGGTGAAAATGATATATGGGAACAAGCTGATAATCCCAAAGGTAGTAATGTTTGGAAGTTTCAAAAAACATTACAAAAATTGTCAGGTTGGACGATGCCTATCTTTCACGGGCGTGGTATATTTAATTGTATGTGATTATATTTTTAGCCTATTTATACTGTTAATCTTGTTATTTATGATTATTGAGTGGATTCACCTTTACTTTCCATTAGATGATGTTGGAATTCTTCCCCATAGGAGACCTATTACTACAATTGGTAAGCTTTAAAGCAGTCTTTTCTAATTTCTTTATACTATTTCTTATCCTTAATAATAAACTTATTAAAAATGATTCGATAGTCGGAAGACCTATCGAAGTTAAAAAGATCGAAAATCCAACAGAAGAAGATTTGCTCGAAGTGCAAAAGAAATATATTGACGAATTATATAATATTTGGAATACGTACAAAGATAAATATGCTAAAAATAGAGTAAGAGAGTTAACTCTTATAGAGTAAATACTTCAATTCTTTCACGAGATTTGAGTGAATAAAAAGGTTTTGGTTTTTCATTTTATTTTTTATTTTTTTTTTATTCTTTGAATAATGGGTGGCGTATTGGTTATTTAAATGGCATTGTTTGTTTTTTAAAATATTTTTGTTTATACTGCATCACATGTTGATGTATGTTTATTTTGACATTAAATTTTATTTGGAAATTCTATGTTGTACAAAATTTATCATCATCTTTGTTATATTTACTATTACAATATTAAAAAAAAAAAATTTTGGTTGTTCAAAGGTTGATTAATATATGGTATCAATGTTACTTTGACCATCTTCATTTGTGTAATTATTATATTCCCATTCCTTGATATCGTATAAAGTACTGTACAACATTACCAGGGTTCATTTTATTGCATTGAGGTAATCGATTACCATTACGACTTGATGTCGCTGAAGATATTGAAAATGATCGTGAGGTTATTGTAATTGTGTTTTAATACGATTTGATCATCAATAAATGGCCCTATCATGTGAGTTCTATTTGAACTTTTATTAAAGCCAAAGCAGCTGTTAAATAGTATTGTTTGAATAGCATGCAAATTCGAATGAGTTGTTACGAACGGAAGTAAATTTTTAATGAGTAATGGAGTTAATTCTGAAGGTTTTACCTAGTGTTGTTAGTCAAAATTATTTAGAAATTTAGACAATTTTGACTTTATTTTTTAAAAAAATTACTATTAAAAAATAAATAAAACTTAATTTAGACAAATTTTGAAATTGGCAAAAACAATTTTAACTAATAACATTAGTTTTACCTCAGAATCCTGATACTCAATCCTGACATTCATAATCTCGACAACAAAATCCTGACACTACTAAAATTCCAGGATATAGTACTGTTAGGATTTTGATGGTATCGGGATTTTGTGTTGTCTAGTTTTGAATGTCCGGATTTTGTATGTCGGGATTAGCAATTGTAACTTGCCGTAACTGCAGAACTATAGTAAGTAATATAGTAAGTTACAGCATTATTGTCGTAACTTATTAGTACCACGATTATGAGTCAAATGATTGTCACACTTAAATTTTATAGTCAAAAATGCATCCCGATCCTTATTTGGTAAAAAGGAGTTGGATTAAATTTTTTTTACGGTTTATCGGATAGTCAAATGATGTAAATTGTAAAAAAATTGGTAAACTTTGTAATTAAGATTAGTTGTCATTTTATTTTAACCAACCCTAAAATTTTATAACCTTCGAATGCTAGAGAATAAGACCGGAAAGCATATTTTTCCTGGATTTTTATATATAAAATTAAAACATAACGATCATCTGATCTATAATATTGTTATACGATATTTATGTATTCTAATTTAATTTTATTAATTAATTATAAATTTACAAAATTTTTAATAAATGTAAATTACAAAAAAAATATTATTCGAAAGTAAAAAAAGTAAAACCATCTAAAAAAAAAAAGATCCGGTAAAAAAAATTAACATATTATCCGATGAATAACCTATTATATACTAAAAAAAGAAAAAAAAATTAATAAATAGTCAAAAAGTACGTCAATATTGTCGTCATATACATGGCCTAATACTGCTTCCGCCAAACACTTCTGAGAAGCTGGTACCTCCACAATAATAGACAACATATAGTATTAACATTAAACATA